GACTTGTGAAGTAACCGTGATATAGCTGGGAGAAGCTTAGAGCCTTTGCAGCAGAGGCAGGAAGGTAGTTCACGCTGCATCACTGGGCCATCCCTGCCTGTATCGACAATGGCAGCAGAAAGAATGTGAACTGTACAAAGAATGGGCAAATGTAACCCATTGTGGGAGGAGTAGGAAATAGGGTCACTCTGGAAGTTCTGGGCCAGGATTTTAACTAGATGCAGAGGCCATGAGGCTTTCTGTCTTGGCTATGCAGTTTGGGAAGGAGCAGGGTGCAGAAGGACCCCCACCGATCCACCATGAGGTCTGGTGTGTAAGGAGATGCCATACGGTTTGGATTAAGGGCTGACAACAAAGCGGTGTGACTGATGATGCTGGGAATTGCAGAGCCTGCCCCGCCAAGCACAGATTACTGGGAGAAGCAAGATGCTGAACTCTGACGGGGAGTACTGAGCCTAGGACTTCCGTGTTTCTAAGAGAAGGTACCTCTGACTGGAATATTCTGAAACTGGCCTGGTTTGGCAAAGGAGGGCCACACCATGTGTTTGTGGGTGTGTTAAAGGGAATGGGACTTAACAGCAGAATTCTGCCATCATTCTAAATCTGTATAACTTTTAAATAAACAATTCCTTTCCTTTTTACCAAACTCCAGCATTGGGAATCACATTTCTTGGCAGCGGATAATTGGACCCCTCACAGCTGTTTCAGAATTGCACAGGCTTGGGGTTCTGTAATACCACCACTGCATTCTCTGTAATAAATGTGCAGATAGAGTGGAGGCTTACTAATTTCTGGAGACATTTAAGGGGAGTGCATGGCCAATATACAGGTCACAGGTGAGAAACACCTCACTGACAACTTTAGTTGGACAAACTAGGAAGAATCTCAGGGAAAACTCCACAGCAGAAGGCCAGGACTGATTTTTCTTCTCTGTACTGGTACCTTGGAGTGTTCTCTTGAATGGCAATAACATTTCCAACTGTTATCTCTGCTTCCACTCCTTGGATCTGCTCCCAGGAGCTACTCAGTGCAAAGTGGCAAAGAGTCTCAGCATTGTGTAAGTACTGACCATTCTCTGCAAGTAGCAATTCATCTCCTCTACTTACTTACATCCCCAGTCCCAGAATTCCTTGAAAATATTACTTTATTTTTATTTAAATTGTTTTAGCTAAATAGTCTCCAAAACTGTAAACATATATTACACTGTTTTATTCTCATTTCAGTTGTTAAAATTTAAATTTGTCTTTTCAGTCAAAATCTAAATAGTGCCTACTTATTTTACTATTTTTGCTTTTCAATGTAAAAATCTTAATTTTTCAGATAATATCAATGGCTTTAAACCAGTTATTATATTCAAGATCATAAAAAATTTTGGAGCTGAGCTCCACTATTACAGATATAAAATAAATTTAACACTAGAAATTATTTAAACACTCGTGTGTTCTAAATGGTTTGCAGAAACCATACCCACAGCATTAAAAGCGTCAGTTTATATCAGAATCTTTCCCCAGGGCAAACATAAGTAGTTTATTGAATTCAATATAAAGAAAGAGGATGGTATTTTTATACCAAAGATACATATGTATATAAAAGTCAGAGGACTTTAATGGATACAGTTCTGAAAGTAAAATACTAGTATAATAGAAACATTAAAATTTTTGTAACCTTCAAATTAAAATACACTAGAAGATAAATCTATAATATAAATCAGACTTTCATAGAGGAATGAAACATTATTTTAGGGCAGAATTTAAAAATACGGTCTGCAAAAAAAGAGCAGGGAAACAAAGGTTTTTACTATAAAGAAGTTTTGAATAGTGCTTTATAATCATTCCTTTTTTAAAGTTCTGTGAACTGTGCCTATTTCAATCTTCTGTTATTTATTTTTGTATATTCACTTCACTTGAATCTTAAAATTTCACCCTCCTTTAGTTCACTAGACTTTTCTAAATGTGTTAGGTAGTATTCTTATGTGTGTTTTCTTTTATGTTTCAGCAAGCAAAGAAATTATGAGAATGGCCATTCGATCGAGAGAATGATCAATGATGACTCTTTAAAAGTGTTCTTTCAAATTCATTATTCATTTCAATTGTGACTTAACTGTTTTAAAAAGAAAGAAAACTGTTTATTCTCCATTAAAGAGGTAGCATATTTGTTATCTTGAAAGGTAGAAGGAAATAAAATGCATTTTTTCCACATTCCACTTGTAAAAATACAGACATTTTTGATATTTCATTTATAAAATATTTTTTCAATTCCTTCATTTATTAGGATGCTAAAGTTATTACTGTCAGTTAAATAAATGTTCATTTGTTTCACTGAAGAACACTGGTAGTCACAGGGCACTGTATTGTTGATAATTATTTCATTAATTTTATTCTGTCTGCCTGAAAGCCTTTCCTTTTACCTGTCAGTTATTCCAGTGACTATCACCTCCTGCAGGACTTCTGAAATGTCATTTTATCATTGTTTTTCCTGACCTCTCAGCAATAAAATAGAAAATTTAGTTATGTGGTGAAGTTGATGACAAGTTTGTTGATTAGAAGTCATGATTCCCCAGAAGACGCTATACTCCATTGAGACAAGTCTCGCATCAAATGTTTTTTCCGAGATCTTTACCAAATTGGCTTTCGTTGTGTTCACCACCTCTGTGAACCTTGCCCCACATCACATCAGCAAAAAAACTATTAGTGGATTAAAGATGTCAGCTGCTACAAAATCAGGAAAACCCTGATGTTTTATAAACATAGATTAGTGTAGCCACAGTTATAGGCATTTAACATATTTACTGAGATTGATCAAAGTGAGGTCCTAATCCTCTTCTCCCTTGATACAAATAGACCTCTGTCTATGATACTATATGGACATATTCCCCTAACTACCTCCACCCTTCCAATGCTTGTGCTGTAAATAGAAAAAATAAGCCATGTTTATATATTTTTATCTAGGTCCGTTAATGGATATATACACCTACATTACTACATAAGAAATAATTTCATGATAGTTGGTTTTTTGTTGTTGTTGTTGTTCTTTTTGATATAAATTCACTCATTACTTTACTTTTTATGAAGATTTTATGTAAATTTGAAAAGGAAATCCATTTCTTAACAGCAACATTTGAAGAAGGAAAGGTGATTTTCCTTGCCAAAACTGTCAGGGAAGCATCCTGCAAAAGAAGAATTTTGAAGATTACTTTGAAAGAAGTATGTATTAGGAGAATTTTAATGCTAATCTTCAAATGTTTCCATATTTCATCCTGAGCTTGCCAAGTAGACAATTACATGCATTGACCAATGCGTCTGGGATGTTATTCAGACAGACATAACCTTGCTTTTGGAATCCAGTGACTGATACTCTATCAAATTTTATATGTAAACTATTTCATTTTGTGATTGGTCTCATACTTCTTGAAGATTTTATCTTTCATAGATAAATTAGGATGTCTTCACAAAGGAACAATTTGCTGTCTGCTTTAGTATTTTATATACAATAAGGATCCAATAAATTATTTTAAGCTCTTTATCTACGGAACATTTAAAACTACCTACAATCTTATATGAGGTTGAAGTTCCATGTACCTTCATCTATACTCTTGTATATATTTACATCTGTCAAATGTTATTCACATGTATATTACGATATCATTTGAGTTATTTTCTTATTTACATTCTTTATGTATGAAGTTCATAAAACTATAGCAACTCTTAGCTTTTCAAAGCTTCTGTTTCTTAAAGTATCCTAACAATCTCTCTTAGTTTACTAAACAAATACACATTGTAGAAGATAAAAATAATTGTAAATGTTTTTTAGTCTAAAACCTTAATTCTATATGTGCAGTGGTACTCAAAAAACAGAAGCAGGGAAAGAATGTGTAACAATAATATTGAGGAAATTTTTTTAATCATATAAAAAATGACTTCAGATAAAAAGATTACTTCAGGAAAGTTTAATACATTTTGCACTGTATTTTAGTTTTAGTCATCTGTGTGGGAGATTTTTTTCCTTTCCTACAAAGAATACCATTTAGTTCTGACAACTGTAAAGTACAGTTTGCAATAAAAAAATTAACAGGACAACACCATTAGGATTAAAAACTTGATTAATGTAGATGTTTTCAATATCTTGTACTTTATATCTTATATTTTACAAAATAAATAAGAATATATTTGGATTGATTTTGGTAACAATATTTTTTCTTGATTTTAAAAAAGAAATTGGGACTTTAATTAATGCAGAAAACAAGGGAAAAGATATACACTTGGAATCAATACTAGGAGAAGTGAGAAATTAGAAGTCAGATACTGTTTTAAATTCTCCCTCACTGATGGCTGGTACAAAACTGTTTAACAAATTATTTAATTTGTTTCTGCTAGGACAATAGCAGTGTTGGCAATGGGGTAGCAAAATCCAAAACTGAAAAGAGAATAATGAAATTCTAACCCGGTAAGTATGCCCTTATATTAACAATTGGACATGTCCTTGATTGTGGATGGGACCTCTCCAGCAGCCCATGAGGTTCTATGTGGAAGGTTATGATTCCATATAGACTGCCTTGTCCACCTAACTTAGAATGGAACTCAAGGAGGAACAAAGAGATGTCAGGGAGTCCTGTCTACTTAGGAGCATGTTCATAATCTTGGATTTATACGATACCACGCACTACCATCTGTTTAGTAGTGAATTTGCTGAAAAACAGATCCAGTTGACCATTTCCTCAATATTCAAAACTGGATAAGCCCGTAACGAATGGTGGCAATAATTCTTTTCTCATAATGTGAAAATGAAGGTTAAATAAAGTGTACATGTCAAAAGCTTTGCTCAGCCCTTACATATCAGTAATAAATGTTAGCTATTCTTGTGTTGCTATTATTAAAGCCAATTCAACAAACTATTATAGCTAAATTGTTCCTATGTGTTAAAAATTAGTAAGGAAATATGAATATCTTTGTTTATAATGTTAATGATAGATGTGTAATAAATTTTTCAATCTTGTAAATAATACATTTTTTTAATGTTTCATGAATTTACATGTCATCCTTGTGCATGGGCCATGCTAATCTTGTCTATATCATTCCAATTTTAATAAGTGTGCTGCCAAAGTGAGCAATGAATAATGCTTTTAATAGAAATACACAATGATATTTTTTTCAAAAATTCTTAATTATATCTTGAAATTTAAGTAGTAAATATGGAAATGTTTATGTGCCACTGGAAAAATAAAAGTGAGTGATATGATTAATTTCTAATTATTGGGATTTTTTTTCCAAAATACTCTTTATGGTGTAGAGGCAAATTCAAAAGTGAAAAATATTTAATGTTAGCATCAAAAGGTTGTTCATTTTAGCAATGAAAATGCCCTGTAAAAAGGTAAGGGAAACACGTTCTGTTATTTTGAGATAAAGTTAACAGTTACAAATTTTTATTGAATTCTTTCTTCTCAATAGGTTTTGAGAACATACCATAATCATGGGGCTGAAAATTAATAAAGAACGTATTATTTCAATATCAAGTAGGATAATATTTTTTAACCTCTCATCCTCTTTATAGAGCCTTCAATCATTCTACTCTTGCTTTGCTGTCACTTCTTTTCTGATCTCTACAAGGGTTTAGATTTGAAATTATACTCCATGGTCGTGCTCCAGTAAATTTAAAACTGGTCCTTTCATATGTAATGATTTCACATGGTCAGTCCTTGATGGGAAATTAGTTTATCCTCCATTACCTTCAAAGTGTACGTTAGCTAAGAATTCCTAGGATAAATTGCAATGCCACATCTATTTTTATTAGTTTAAAAAATTGTAGTCTCTTACACTTTTCTTAGCTACTGTTGGTTTAAATGACTCTAATACTATGGTTATAAAGCTACTGACATAAAAAAATGAATTTACTTTATACTTTCTTTCTTACTAAAATTAGATTCAATCGAACCACTTTGCAATGGATTAATGGTATTACCTGTCAATTTTCACTTAATTTTTGAGGTTATTATAAAAAGTAAATTTGTCTGATTCAAATTGTTTAAAACATTCTGAATTGGAGTTAGCTAAACCTCAAAAGTTAATATACCTTAAATTGTTTTAAAAATATTTTTCTGCTTTAATATCATACTATAACGCTTAGTCTTTCAGTAGTGAACTTGGAGTCTGTGAAAGTCGTAGATTGAGAAAAAGTTGCTATAATCTCCTTGAAAACCTTAATTTAATCAATGTAATATCTATCTAAAGCAAAATTTCTTCAAAGGTGAAGAAATTTGTAAGTAACAAATTATTTAGAAATAACCACAAAATGACTTTCCTTGTATGTGTGATTTAATAACAAAAAACTACATATAAGAAAATAAGCATAATATATAAGCTTTTATAAGATTAACTTTTATATTTTATGCATATATAGTTATTTCATAAATTAGGCAAGACATATAAAATAGTATTCCCCCCATGTTATTAGTAAACTCTAGTACAAAAAGTTTAAATAGCTTACATTGCCATGGTGTTATCTAGTGTTGGGGCCAGAAATTGGGTTTTGACTTTGTAGTGTAATGCCACATGTTATTAAGTACTGAATCAAGGTTTTCTTTTTATTGAAGTGTCCCAGGCTGATGCTATTTTCACTAGATCTTGGCTTCTCTCAATTACAGTAATCACTCCATTAACTGAAAAGTTATTCATTAATTTGACAGATTATATTAGTAACAAAATCCATACCATATCTTCTAAGTTTTTTTCCTAATTGGTATCTTTAATATAAACTTATATACACAATTAAGAATAACCAGATACCTGTTATGCATTTCAAGATTTAGTACAGAGCTGTATCCTAAAATTCACTGTCATAATAAAAAAGCAGTATCTATAGGAAGATCCAGGACAACAGTTTGCTCTTGGGACATATAAACATTTTTATATGAATGTCATTTATTTTATTTTCTTACAACTATTTCCAGAATATCACATCCTAAAATGAAAACTGCAACATTTTAATGGAAAGACTCTCTATATTTCTATGATGGCTAATCTAGTACCTGTAAATTTGCAAGTTGATATTGAAATCAAGGTGTAAAGCTGCAGATGACTGTCAATATAGAGAGGTTTCTGTTTCTGTTGAAACTTGAAACACACAAGGCCAATTTTTATTAAAAAAGATGCAAGTGTTATTCCACTTTTATATCCCATTCTTTCCCCCTGTGTACAAGACATTGATGGCATAAACTATTAGTGCCATAAATGCCATTGTCTTCCCAGTGGTGCTTGTCTCCATGATTCGGATTCACTGTTGTACAGAAAGATGCATAGCAGCAGGTATTTGTGAATGGCTAGTAAGAAGTTCCTGCCCTCAAATTATTGTACGTCCCTCAAAAAATTAAGTTAATGATCTAGAATAAGAAGCATGCAGATAGAAGCAAAGGTGTACACAAAAGCACAAGGGCAGGCCTTCTGTTAATCTTTATATATCAGTTAAATAAGGCTTTACAGTGCTATAAATCTTTGAGGGTAACCTCTTCAGTGGTGTGTTTAGGATCATTGGATATAAAATAGCCTTTACAGTAATTTTATAGAAATGATTGATTTGGATGAAAAAGAAAACTCAGGTTATATGAATTGAGAGTAGTAGGAAAAACAGTTATTGTTTTATTTTTTTCTTAAATTTATTGCGGTGACATTGGTTAATAAGATTATATATGCTTCAAGTGTATTTTTCTATGACACATGATCTGTATATTCCATTGTGTGAACACCAAAGTTAAATCACCTTCAATCACCATATGTTTGCCCCCCTCTTTTCCCATTAATATCATTCCCCCACCTTTGTTCCCCTTTGATAACCGCCATACATTTGTCTGTGTCTTTGAGTTTCAGTCTTGATATCTCTTTGAGTGAAATCATGTGGTTCTTAACTTTTTTTCTTATTGAATTATATCACTTAGCATGATATTCTCAAGATCAATCCATGTTGTCAGAAAATGGTAATTATTCCATCTTTTCTTGTGCCTGAGTAGTATTCCATTGTATGTGTACCATATCTTCTATCAAAGGACACTTTGGTTGTCTCCATGTCTTGGCCACAGTAAATAATGCTGCAATGAGCATAAGGGTGTAAATATCTTTGTGAATAAATGTATTTGAGGGTTTTTTTTGGTAACTCTTCTTAATTTTTTTGAGGAATCACCATACTGTTTTTTATAGTGACTATACCACTGTACATTCCCACCAGCAGTGAGTGAGGTTTTATTTTCTCCACAAACTCTCCAACACTTGTTATTACCAATCTTGTTGATATTATCCATTCTAACAGGTGTGAGGTGGTATTTCATTGCAGTTTTGATTTGTATTTCTCCAACAGCTAAAGTTAAGCATTTTTCATTTATCTGTTGGCGATGTTTATGTCTTCTTAGGACAAGTGTCTATTCAGGTTCTCTGTTCATTTTTTAATTCAATTATTTGTTTGGTGTTGAGTTGTATGAGTTCTTTATATATTTTTTGATATTAACCACCTGTCAGAGCTATTGTTTGCAACATTTTCAACATCTACTATTTGGTTGGTTGCCTTTTTATTTTGTTGGCAGTTTCTTTTGCTGTGCAGAAGCTTTTTAGTTTGATTTAGTACAATTTATTTATATTTGTCTTTACTTCTCTTGCTTTTGGGGTAAAATTCATAAAATGTTCTCTACAACCAATATATATGTTTAGTACCTATGTTTTTGTCTACATAATTTATTGTTTTGGATCTTATATTTAGGCCTCTGATCCATTTTCAGTTAATTTTTTTACATGGGGACAAACTCTAGTTTCATTCTTTTGTATGTGGCTTTCCTATTTTCCCACGATCATTTATTAAAAAAGCTTTATTTTTCTACATTGCATTTTTTTGTCTCCTTGTCAAGAATTATTTGACCCATGCACATGTGGCTTCATTTCTGAGCTCTCACTTCTGTTCCATTTGTCTGAATGTCTGTTTTTCTGAAAATACCTTGCTGTTTTGACATGATTCCATATATGTAGAAAATTATAAAGACCCCACCAAAAATACGATTGGATATAATAAACAAATACAGTGAAGTTGCAAGAAAAAAATCAATCTGCAAAAATCCACTGGATATACTAGCAATGAAATTTCAGAAAAAGAAGTGAAAGAAAGATTTTCTTTTGCAATTGCAACAAAAAGAATAAACTGAACAAAAGATGAGAAGGAATTATATAATGAAAACTACAAAGCATTCTTAAAAAATAGATTGAGCACTAGCTAGTGTGGCTTAGTGGATTGAGCACTGGCCTGTGAACCAAAAGATCACTGGTTCGATTCCCAGTGTGGGGCACATGCCTCAGTTGCAGGCCAGGTCCCCAGCAGGGGCACATGAAATGCAACCACACATTGCTTTTTTGCTCTCTTTTTCCATCCCTTCCCCTCTTTAAAAGAAACAAAATTTTTAAAAAACGGATTGAAAAAGATACAATGAAATGGAAAGATATTACATGTTCATGAATTACCCATGTACCCAATGTCCATATTACCCAAAGCAATATAAAATTTAATGCAACCTCCATCAAAATACCAATGATATTTTTTAAAGAAACAGAAAAACAAAAAGTCATCAGATTTGTTGGAAACCATGAATGACACAACATAACAAAAGCCATCTTGAGAAAAAAAGATGAAGCCAGAGGTATCATACTACATGACTTCAAATTACACTATAGGACAAACATTTTAAAATAACTGGAGAAAACTGACAAACAGTGAATGTGATTTGGAAATTCAGGATGATTATCAGGATAAGTGATTCAACATAGAAAGAGAGTGAAAACTCAAGAAATTATAATTTCTGTGGAGTGGGCCAGGGAGACAGGCACTAAATTTGAAAATTTAGTTTTATAGAAAATTTAGATTTAAAAAGAAGTTTGGGAATTAAACTGGAGTTCAGAGATTTACGTTCATTGATTAGCTTGGAAAACTTGGGAAAAAACGGAAGAGTCAGATAAATAATGAGGAAAAGAACTGATTAAAGAGTGTAAAATGAGTAAATTAAATGACCAGAGAGTGGAAACAGAAAGCTCAAGGACAAAACAATGTGATGTTTTTATTTGTGAATGTATAATTGAATCAGTAAGA